GATGATTGCTTGCTTTTGACGATCATGTCGTCAACATAGGCCTCCATGGTGCGCCTTAGGACAGCCTGAAAGACTCTGGCCACCATCCGGGTGTAAGTGGCGCCTGAGTTCTTAAGGCCGAAGGCCATGACAAGGTAGCAGAAGATGCCCTCGGGAGTTATGAAGGCTGTTTTTTCGGCGTCTTCCTCGTGCATGAAAATTTGGTGATACCCTCGGAAGGCATCGAGGAAGGACATGATCTCGCACCCCGCGGTTTCATCCACCAGTTGATCAATATTTGGCAAGGGGAAAGGGTCCATGGGGCACGCCTTGTTTAAATCAGTGTAGTCCACGCACATACGGAAGGTGGGTGGCTTTTGTGCGAGGACTACGTTAGCCAGCCATGAGGGGTATTTTACCTCCTTGATGTGCTTGATGGAGAGGAGCATGGTGACCTCCTTCTTCACAAAATCCCTTCTCTCGGTCGAGAGGGGTCTCCTTCGCTGTTGTATAGGTTTGACCGAAGGGTCCACCGAGAGGCGGTGGGTGATGACCCTTCGGTTGATTCCGGGCATGTCCTCCGGCCCCATGCAAAAACAATGGAGTAGGCGCGGAGGACTTCAGTTATGCCGGTCTTCAGGTCTTCAGGGAGCTTGGCTCCAATCTTCAAGACTCTCTCCGGCTTGGTCGGATCGAGCACAAAGTCTTCTACTTCCTCGGCGGGTTCAGCCCTCGGTCTTTTTTCTTCTTCCTCCACGGCCCCGGTGATGGTGTCAACACGGAACTCGGTCTTACTAACCTTCTTCGTCACTTGCATCGTTTGCAATTGCGCAATGCCATAACGCCTTATGGCGCGCCTCGGTAGTTTTGAAGTGTATGGCGTAAAATTGCATTGCAAAAGGCGTTCAGGTTTGTAGCGTAAGTTTTTTGTCAGCCGGGCCCAGTTTTAGAACTTCTAGTAACATAAGACCGACATACCACCGCATAGGGTATTCTTATATTCGACTATTCGTATATAAAACCAGCTCTAGCGCAATTCCTTCTTACGCAAAAAGCCAAAGCCGCAGCAGTTAACAAACCGGTTCTTTCCAGTTTCCACTTTCCATCGCCTCTTTCCGTTTGGTCGCTTCTTCCAAGAATCTAAGGTACTGTGTTTTTTTCCGTTTGGCATAGGGTATAATTTTCTTCTTGTTAATTTTCTACTTAGTAATACTTCATGTTAATTCCCAGCTTGTTAATGTTATTTTTGCTTATTCGTTTTGGTATATAGTATATACTGCTTCTCCGTTTGATGCTTATTTGCTTTTTGTTTATGTTATTTTTGCTTATTTCAACTTAACATTATCAATATTTGATTTCAGTTATAATATTTAATGATAACTCCAACTTTGATGTAATATTAATGTTCTGTTTAGTTTTCAGTTTGATGTTTTCAGTTATAATGTTAAGTTTAGTGTTAATTAGCAGCAGTTAAGTTTATCCGTTTAATGTTTTCAGTTTAATTTAGCTTCTCCGTTTAATGTTCTATTAATTTTTCAGTTTGATGTTTTCAGTTAAATTTAGCTACCCCGTTTAATGTTAATTTAGCAGCAGTTAAGTTTCTGCATATTAGTATATTAATTTTTCAGTTTGATGTTTTCAGTTAAATTTAGCTACCCCGTTTAATGTTAATTTAGCGGCAGTTAATTTTTCTTCATATATATATATATACACACACACGCCTCAGCTATACGCCTCATTGCGCAATGAGGCTTACACAATATGCAATTCTAAAAATCCGCCATGATTACGCAATAAACAATTACGAACATTGGTCACTTGAAGGTAGCAAGCGCGGGCAAGTTTTTGATTCCCCCTTGAGTATCCGATGCCTCCTTCGGCGGGGAATTTGAGGCACAGATGCCTCATGGAGATGATGGCTTCGAGGTCCTCGAGGGCTGGTCTGCCGAGGATGATGTTGTGGGCGCAGTCGATGTTGACGACGACGAACTCCACTTCGAGCTTGGCTCTATTGAGTCCGTCGCCGAATAGTACCGGGAGGGTAATGACCCCCTCGGAATCAATGGTGTCTCCGGTGAAGCCGGCGAGAGGGGTCTTGATGGGCCGAAGGGACCCCCTCTCCAGATGCAGCTCTCTGAATGTGCTGAGGTACATTACATTGACGGAGCTGCCCGTGTCAATGTAAGTTCTGTGGATGACGGTGTTGTTGATCTCCGTACGGATGACGAGGGCATCCTTGTGCGGAGAGGAAGCCGGGGGGAGATCGGCGTGGGTGAAGGTGATGGGTTCCTCCCTCAGCCGCTTTACCGGGGACATATGAGTGACTTCCCCCACATATAGCGATTGAGCCCACTTCTTCTGCTGGCTGGTGGAGTCCCCTCCTGTGTTGCCTCCAGTGATCATATGGATGTGGCGCTTTTTCTCTTGGTACTGGCTGTACTCCTCCTCCTCATTGAGGTTTCCAATCTCCCTTTTCTTACCCTTCGGGTCGCCGAGGGGATGGTGTTTGGGTTGACCCAAGCGTTTGTTTTCTTAGGGGGTCCCTGGTAGTGAGGGGTCCCCTGAGGCGGAGGGCCTCTGATGAATTGGGACAGGTGACCTGCCTGTATCAACCTTTCAATGGCCGTCTTCAACTGATGGCAATCGTCGGTGCTGTGCCCTTGGTTGCGGTGGAGCCGATAATAAGGATAATTGGGGTTGATGGCGTATACCTCCAGGGGTGCGCGAGAGTCGCGCTCCACAAGGCCCCTCTCCTTGGCGAAGTCTAGGATGACACTGACGGGGTGCGTCAAGGGAGTCCCGAGGGTGCTCCAAAAGAATGAGCTGAGCCCAAGCCTTCGGGTTTCCCTTGTAACCTCCCCCAGGCTTGGCTTGGCCATGCCGGGGGCGATCACTGGGGGTGCCGAAACCTTGGATTGATTATGGGGAGCCCCCGGTTGCCCTTGTCATCTGGACGAGGGCGTTGCTGATCGGGGTTGTGATGGCACTTTTCCACCTCCTCGGCTTCGGCGTACCGGTCCCCCCGCTGCAGGGCCCTTATGTAATCGCGGGGAGGTTCGATGATGAGGCTCCTTGAAAAGTTCCCGGGGCGAAGGACTGTTTGAAGGAGGGCCAGAAGGGTCCCATCGTCAGCGCCATCAACTTTATCCGCCTCCGTCCTCCAGCACTCCAAGAAGTCCCGAAGGGTCTCCTCCTTCCTTTGTCTTACTGTTAGTAAGTGGGAGAAGTGTTTCCTTGACCGGCGCCTCCCTTCAAACTGTGTCAGGATGCATTGGGCGAGTTCTTGCCATGAATCGATGCAGCCTTCGGGCAATCGGTTGAACCATTCGTACGCTGGTCCCTCTAAGGTGGAAAGGAACCAACGACACAAATATTCGTCCGATGCCCCCACCATCATCATGCTGTTTTGGTACCGGCTGTAATGCTCCTGGGGATCTGTCTTTCCTTCATAGAGCCTGATGGGTTGCCCCTGGTATCTTTCCGGAATTCGGGCCACCAATACCCTTGGGGTAAATGGCGTCCTAGTCCAAAGTTGGACGACGGGTTCCCCGGAGCCTTCGGCTATTTTCTTTTGGATTTCCTCCATTTTGGCCAACATGGCCTCATATTTGGGATCTGCATGAGGGGTGGTGACGGCGGTGTGTGCCCGATGGGCCTCCATCTCATCAAGCCGGTGCTGGAGGGCCGCGATAATCTCGTCCCTGTGATCCTTCGAGAGGGCCTCCCCCCCTGCGAATGAACACGGGCCGAGTGGGCCTGATTGATTTGGTGCCTGGCGTCATCGGCATGAAGTGGTGCCTTGCCTTTGTCCTGAGGAGGACGTCTTTCGTCCGCCCTAGAGACGGATCCGCCACTTTCTTGAGGGGATTGGACCTCCTGAGAGGCGGTGTCCTGAGCTACGACCCCTTCGTCGTTCCCCACCCGAGGGGTAGAGTTCACGAAGGGGGGTGGACGTGGGAGAAGAACAGTGTTTTCCCCGATTTGCGGTTGAAGGGGCACTAGAGTGTCGAAGGCACCTGGGTTTTGGGTGAGTGTTTGGATGAAGTCAGAGAATGCCGACTGTACGTCGATAGTGAGAATCGGAGGGCTCACTTGATTTTCGCTCCGGTCCCTCCTTCGGGTTTCGATGCCAAGACGGGCATCGAGAGCGTTTTGCTGGAGCTGAAGGCGCAGGTCAACAACAGCTTGATCCAACTCAGTGATGACCCCACCCTCGGGAGCCTTGTTAGAGGCTCCGGGGGCGTTGACTTCACCGAGGGCCAGGTTGTTGTCCTCAAGGTTCTTGGACTGAGCACGAGTGGTTCTTCCCATTTTGGTAGGTGTTTTTAGCTGAAGGGGAGGGTTTCTTACTTGATTGTTTGAGCTCTCAACGAGAGCACCAAATGAGGGATAAGTGTATCGGGGGTATCTATCCGAGGGGTTACTACGGGGAATAACTAGAGAGAAGTCAGAGCAAAATTAAGAGAGAGAATATGTATTGCTGAGAATGTATTGAGCGTATTGAGCATGGATTACAAATGGGAAAGGGGTGCTATTTATAGTAGTAATAAATGCTAGATAGGGACACGTGTCATCATTCTGGTGGTCGAGAGGTCACCTCAACGGGGTGGCACTGACACTCGCATGTGGCCGCATTAAATGCGGTTGTTGGATGTGACGTTTGTACTCGGTACGTTGATCCGGCGCATGTGGGTGGGAGATTCTGTCGAGGAGATGCCTTCGGCCGTAGATGATTGGCCGAAGGCTCTTCATTCTGGGGGCCTCTAGGTGCCGAGGGCTCTAGGTGCCGAGAGCTACTGTTTTCGGCCAGGGGGCCGAAGGCACCCCCAGTGTTTGCCGTGGGCGTTTGGCACTTGGGGCGCTGTGATTTGGGCCTGCTGTGCTTCCTGGGCCTATTGGGCCTCTGCTATAGTAGTGGGGGTCTATGGGCCGGGGATTCCTGGGTCATATACTCCATCACATAGATTGATTTTAATAGTCACAATTTGCATTTATTTTTCTTAATATCGGAGGTATTCCAGTGTTGCAGTAATGACCAGAGCTTTCCCTGAGTATTATGGGAAACAACATGAGTTGATGCTTCTCCAGCAAATAGCAAGCTACTTGCTTCTTGCATGTGGCGCCATTTATCTTCTATCTGTAAGTTCAACAATCTTTCCAACTACCTAAAACCTTAATAATCTGAGTACACTTGCCACTTGCCCGTATACAGTGGAAGCGAATCCTCTCCCATATGGCACGGTGTGTGGCAGACCAATAGTCGTTCGATAAGTGTACCAGCGTCTTGATTGGCAGCGGGCCTGTGTTGAAATGACCGTTTATTCATGTCATTTTTTGCAGGGAATATTATGCATTGGGTTTCTAAAACGGGCTCGTGAGAACAAAGAAAGTTCCAAGGAGCAAACAATAATGGACCTGGAGGTAATTATGATGTGCATAGCCTGCACTAATTTCACCCAAAAAATGTTGATGGTTATTCAGTGCGGTGAAAGATTCAAAAATTCCCTTTTCGCGCACTTATTTATGCTCTTGTACTCTGACTGAGATGCCCCATAACAAAGACTGTGATATGACTTTGTATGTATAATGAAAGTCAAGATGAATTTTACATGTGTGCGGATAGCTCAATTCACTTTTGTGTTTCGGCCTACTTCCTTTTAATCACTTACTTACAATTATAATCAACCCTCTTGGATTGTCTCATCTCTACCAAATCTCTGAAGGAAACTCTTCACTCACACTAATCGAGACATATTTGGATAGTCTCTTGTAGACTTATTTCATAAAAAGGCTCTCACTCCCACTTCTTTAGAAAGTATTTTAGGAATGATGACTCGCTCCTATTTATACTTGTCTCACTTCTTGAGAGATTAGCTTTCTCTAGAATTTTCAATGAACTTCTCTATTCTGTGGCATATTGTAAATCAGAATTATATAATTCATTCAAAGATTGTATGGAGTAACTATGTTATTTTTACAGCATAAAATGTCGATAGAAAGTTTATGTGAATTTCTAGCAATTTGTTCATTATATAAAAATAAAGCTTTTGTTGCGAGTTAACACGTTACAAGAACTTAAAATCATAGTGCTGCTAATGAAATGATAGTAAATATGAAGGTGAGGTTAGGTTAAATGGTAGGCATGATACAGGTCAGCTTACATTTCACTTGGAAATGCGTTTGTGCAAAGCAGAGACGTTGTGAGAAAAATACCTACTTATGAATTATGATCCGATAAGCATTGGTTTTAAATATTTATTATTTTCATGGCGGGGAATCTTGTAATGGATGTAGAAGCATGATTGATTGTACTATCATCATTTCAGGCTCTAGAGCGTCGTAGAGAAGAACTAGAAGAATTATTATTGATGCAAGAGAGAGCATAGGAAGGAGTATGAAGGCGAGCACCATCATGTGTACCACCTACTGCGCAGGTACAAATTATTGCCTTGTCTACACTGTTATGTTCATCATGGGTTCTCGTGAGATTTGAACAACTCCCAGAAAGTTCAAGAAACCTTGCTGAAAATTCAACAATTTTATGGAAGTTAAGGAGTTCCAAAGTGAAGAGGGATTGCCCTTTCTTTTTTCTCAGATCTGAAAGTGAATAATGATTATTATTATCAAGTGTAAGCTCATCATGGTGAAATTATTGTAATGATAACGGTATTGGCAGTACTAATTTTTAAAAGAAATGTGTGATTGTGGTAATAATTTGGGCAATATGCTCTGACATTTTAAGAGTCCGTTTGATTGGTGACCATGTTTTTCGACTTATCGAGCTTATTAGTCAACTTTTTCACCAAACACGTAAGTTTTTATTTCGCGCGTTGATATTTGTAATACTCCGTACTAAGAAAAGGTAAGGTTGCAGTTACTTTTTAGTCGTATTAGTTGAAGTTACCGTAGATGACTATTTTAGCTATTTTTCATATTTTTTCTTTATTTTATGAATAAAATATATTTTAAATCTAATTTTTACATAAAATGAACGAGTCAGTCAATCAACCACTTCAACAAGAATTTCATAAGTTTCAGCACAATCAACCAATTCAATCGATTTTGGTATTACCAAATGAGATCTAAATTTTTTACAGTAATTCAAGTGTAAAAGTTTTGTTAGAGTATGTTATTGTAATTAAATTCATATTAATTATCACTGTGTTGTATTTAGTAGTTTATGCTTATTTTTCCAATCAATGTAATAAATAGACTAGCCTTTAGTACGTTTGGGCCACATCAATGTTAGGGCCCAACCTTTATTTCATTCCTTATCGGCATATTATCCAAGGTATATATATTACCTATTAGGGTGAACGTGCATAGTTTTTTCATTATTATCCAAAGTAGGGTTGGACTCGGGCCGGGCCAACCGGCCCGGAACCGGACCGGCCCAATACTGTGCGGGCCCGGACTGGCCCGGTGGGATGGTGGTTTTTTAAGATTTTGGGTTGGGCTGGGTATTTTGGGCCATTTGAGGTGGTTAGGGTTGGTTTGGGGGTGAGGGGAGGGTTGGGGGTTAACTAGGAAAAGCCAGAAAAAAAAAATAGAACCGAGGCCCGGCCCGGCCCGGACCCGGGGGTTACTCGGACCGGTTCCGGGCCTCCCCTTCATGAACTGAGGCCCGGCCGGGCCCGAACCGGAACCGGTCCATCCCTGATCGAAAGCATGAGTATTGGAAACCTCACTTCAAAAATTTCTCCCAAAGTCCACAAGGTCATATCGTAAGTCATCCTGTGTCACAAAGTTACTGTGTGATACATTGAAGTTGTGATACCCACTTTATGATATTAAGTTTTGATACGACTCGCACCCAAAAGCTATTGTTCTCTCCTAGGGATGGATCCGGGCCGGTCCGGTTCCGGGCCGTGCGGGCTTTTTTTGCAAAATGTTGGGCCCGGAATCGGCCCGGGTTGATACCGGGTCCGGGCCTAACCGGGCCGGGCCGGGCCCGGGTCAAGTTCAATTTTTTTTTTGGTTTCTAATTAACACCCGACCCCCCCCCCCCCCCCCTTCATCCCCACCTCCCAAACCCCCCAAAACACCCAACCCTAACCTAGAAAAGCAAAAAAATTTGAAAAACAAAAATTGAACCGGGCCCGGCCCGAACCGCCCGGGCCGGTTCACCAAAAGTTGGGCCCGAGCCCGCCCGACCCGCCCAAACGGGCTAAAAGTCTGGAACCGGCCAACTGGTCCCGGTTCGGTCCGGGCCCAAACAGTAACGGGCCGAGCCGGTTTAGTCCATCCCTATTCTCTCCATACCGTGTGTCCTTTTGTACCGTAAACCTCATAGTCATATCGCAAATCCCCTTGTACCGTAAACCCTCGACTCTTATCATAAACCCTCTTCACCTAAGATCAACAACACAACCCGATCTAACTCAACAAAATGGATGCCTTATCTTTGGGTAATGATGTGAGACCTCCAATTCTCATGAGAGGAGAATTTATGGTTTGAACTTTGGAGGAACATGTTTCTGAATTTTCTGGAGAGCTAAGACCAATCATTTGGATTGCTCGAATCCATAATTGATAGTCCGGCTCGGATCTTTATACCTGTATCCAACAAATGATTCACTTGTTGCAGATACTATGAGACTAAAAGATGAAAGTGAATATGAATAAGACAAGCTGAGAGCAATTTTGTGTAGTGCGATCATTCCTCGATCATTTAAATATCATAATCAAATCTATTTCTACTTCATTTTTTGTTTTATTTCTATGTATTATATCTGTCCGAAATCATTATCTGCATCTATATGTTGAGCCTGGGAATCAACATTTGGTATCAGAGCCATCTGTGCGATCATTGACAATAACATTGACAAACAGGGACTCTGTATTGAAAATCTGCTTTTCGATTGCTTCTTCATCTATTTTTTGCTTGAAAACTATTCGTAGGGGATCGATGATGATTTACGAGTGAACATATACCATTTTTACCATCACCGGATCAGTTCTCATTTTTTGCAGTTTTCTTGTTCTTCGTATCGAAACTAATATCGCAAAGCCACTGTTTGTGATACGACAAAGTTTATGATACTCAGTTTTCTCTACTAAGTTTTCAATATAGTTTATACCGAAAGCCATTCTCATTTCGAAACCTCTTCTATCAAAAGCATGAGTATCGTAAACCTCACTTCAAAAAAAATCCAATTCCACAAGGTCATATCGTAAACCATCCCGTATCACAAAGTTACTGCGTACATTGAAGTTGTGATATTATTAAGTTTTCGATACGACTCACACCCAAAAGCTATTGTTCTCTCTCCATACCGTATGTCCTTCTGTACCGTAAACCTCATAGCCATATCGCAAATCCCCTTGTACCGTAAACCCTTGACTCTTATCAAAAACCCTCTTCGCCTAAGATCAACAACACAACACGATCTAACTCAACAAAAATTGATGCATTATCTTTGGGTAATGATGTGAGACCTCCAATTATCGGGAGAGGAGAACTTGTGGTTTGGAGGAACATGTTTCTGAATTTTCTGGAGAGCAAAGACCAATCATTTGGATTGCTTGAATCCATAATTGATGGTGCGACTCAAATCTTTATACTCGTATCCAACAAATGATTCACCTGTTGCAGATACTTTGAGACGGAAAGATGAAAGTGAATACGACGAACAAGACATGATGCTAGAAATTTTGTGGAGTGCGATCATTCCTAGATCATTTCAATATCATTATCAAATCTATTTCTACTCCATTTTTTGTTTTATTTTCATGTATTACTAGATTCTCACCCGTGCGATGCACGGAACAAAAATCAAATAATAATTATATCATATGATTTGTGTACATAATTAGTTATGTGTAAATTAATGCAAAGAATATGTATAAATACAATCCACATAAAAATTATAATTAAGAGAAAAATGGTTAGACTCACAATTGGTACGAACTATGTCTAGGCATATAGAAGAAGGATTAAATAAAAAATTACGATGAGGTTGCCAATGCCGGCCTACACATTTCGAAACACTTCTCTGTAAACAATATTGATAGTGTGGTCGATTTATTCACCATCTTTACAGCAAATCATTATATTCAAACTCTTTTGATTTGTAACTTTTGACACTGTAACATAAAGTTGATCAAACTGATTAGTTAATAAGAGTCCAACATGCGATAAAAAATGGTCGTGACTCTTATTTATAGTCATCGCAAGTGTTAATGTACATGACGAATTAGAATCGTTTAATAGTAGTATTATAACATGCGAAAAGGTGCAAATAAGCCCTCGAACTAACCGAAAAAGTGCAGATCACCCCTTTTATAGGAGGCTCTGTCTGGCGGTCGCCATTTGGGGCGGTTGCCGGTGGATTTTTTTTGAGCATCTTCTTTATTGAGTCTTGTTTACTCATACCAAATTTTAGGTAAAAATTCAACAGGAAAGGCAGTCAAATGATTTTCTGAAATATACTGCGCAGTTTAACTGCGCAGTTATCTTCAAACATTTATTTGACTGCCTTCACGTTTGAATTTGTAGCTGAAATTTGGTATGAGTAAACCAGACTTAATGAAGAAGATGTTCAAAATATTTCATCAAAAAGTTACACTGGGAACCACCTCAAATGGTGACGTCCGGACAGGGCCTCCTATAAAGGGGTGATTTGCACTTTTTTGATTAGTTCTAGGACTTATTTGCCACTTTTCCCATTATTATAACATAGTATGAATGAATTATCAAATTGCGATTTGCGAACAGTAATGTCAAGGTTATGGGTTACGAAACATTTTTACAAAAAACAACATATGAAACTAACAGTATTTGTACCTTGATACAAAAATATATTTGTCCACATGAAATTAGGGGATGGAGGTAGTAATGTTATAAGGAGTATATAGTTCCACATGAATACCGTCTTCATCATCCATCTCATTCTCAAGAACTTTCCACATCAAATATAGATTCATATGATCATTTTCTCCATTTCTCACCCTCGGCCGTAGTCTTTAACATCTAAAATCTCTTTCTCTATTCCTTTCCCCACCCCTTGTCGCTCAAACATGTACTTCTCCCAAATTAGAAAGATCTCCAATGGTCAAATATGCTTTTGTGTGTGTTTGATTTATGTTTTTGATGTAGGTACTACCTACTTTCATTATCGCTTGTCTCATTCTTAAGAATATCTGATGTTTCTCCTTAACAGGGGTGTATCTTCGAAAATAAGAAATGTATACTTTGAATTTTGTTTCCATAACTGTTTTAACACCAAATCCCTTCTCATGTTTGGTCTTTGTTTCATACATCATGAGCATATTGGTTATACATGTGCACATTTCTTCACGGGCACTCCCATGTAGGTTAGTATATCTACATTTCTATTGCAACTTTAACATTTCATATGGCTGGATTTTATATTCAAAAACCATAAATAATTTTATAAACCCGGGATACATTTTTTTGCTGAGCTTCCTAACCTACTAATGGATCGCGGACCCTAGGGGTAGCCGGAATCCGGGAAAATAATAGAGAGAGAGAGAGAGCGGGAAAATGCTAAGTAAGACCGGGTACAAAATCCAGCAGAGTAACAGCAAGAGAATTCTAGATCGGATCTCTTTCCACATGTTGTAAGGTGATATTTATACTAAGAGAGAAAATACTTGGTCAACAAGTAAAAAGATGCTACTCTATTGTGGTGGGGACACATGTCACACTTGCCTAACAGAATGAACAAACAAATCTAATAATATGGTGACACATGTAAAGGTGATTGGAGAGATGATCGGGACAACTGATTGATTGGAACTGTGCAGATTTATACTAGAACATTCGTGTGTGTTACACA